AACGGCGTTTCTGTGCACTCTGGTTTCCATCACAGTGTTCTGTTGCGCCAGAAGCGGTTTGGTCATGCTGGCCACATGACCCAGAAAGCTGTCTGTAAGCAAACACTGGCTCCCTCAGCCTGAAATGAGATAAGCGCCGCAACCCCGTAGTCACCTTTGACTGGACTTAACTGTCATGGGGTCTTTTACCTTTTACCTAGGGTCCCTTGCACCCTTTGGCAAGGAGGTGTATCCGCACTCCCCCCCAAATCACTTTACTTGAATAGATGCATTAGAAATTCCTACATTTTACACAACCCAAGGGGAGCGGAGGAGGAAGGGCGGGAAAAATTCACACACCTTTGTGTCACAGTACAAGAAGGACATGAAGCTTCTTTTGCGGTGGAATCTACATGAATATAAAAAGTGTTCTGAAAAAGCTTTTTTAAAAAACGTTTTTAAAAATACATTGAATTTTCCATAAGGCTCACCATCGCCATCTAGTGCCACATTGTATATTGCACTAAAAACACTCTATAAACATTTTATTTGCAACTCTATAGCTGAGTCCACATGGGTCTGATCCCGCTGAGACAGCAGGGTTGTTTTGTTGCACAGTCCTGCGTCATACACTCCATAGGTGATTTTGAAGTCCCTCCCTTTGGCATGCACCCGCAGCAGGGGCCGGTTTCGCTAACCCCTACGCACAACTCTGCTACTCAAGAGTAAATCTGAAGGAACCTCAGCTCATCACATCCGTTATTTTTTATGGATATGCTCTGAGCGGGACTAACGTTGGATACAAATCCAGGTGAGGATGAAATAGTGATGGCCAGCAGCCATTCCCAACGAAACCTCCACGCTGGTAGGAAACTTTAAGGCCACATTCACGACATGCATTGAAAGCGCTGTGATGCCACTTCAGTCTCAGCTTCCCCCAAAGAACTCTGGGTGCTGTGGTTTGCTAAGGGTGCTGAGCATTTTTAGGTGACCCCCTTATTCCTCTCAGAGAGCTACAATTCCCAGAGTTCCCTGGGAAGATGGACTGACTGTTAAACCACTCTAGGAATTGCACAATGCAGTGGTTCCGAATGAGCAAAGTTCTTCAAAAGCCAAGCCAAAAGCCAAGGCTTTTGAAACTATTGACATTTCTACGGTAGTTTTTGTTATGTGAATGGTGCCATGGACCACCAACTGGGAACCACTGGTATATGGTATAAGCTTAGCTTCCTATGTCTTAAAAGAAGGACTGGAGAGCCTCTCTTCTATGTGCAGAAGGTCCCAGGTTCAAATCCCCAGCATGTCCAGGTAGGGCTGGGAGGGACTCCTGCCTGAAACCCTGGAGAGCATCTGCCAGTCAGTGTAGGCAATATTGACCTCGATGGACTAGGGGTCTTACTTGAGATACACCAGCTTCTTTCTGCTCCGTTTTCAATCAACCTTTTGTTCGGAGCAATGAGGGCTGGAATCTTGCATTATTTTCGCAGATTTTGCATATCCGTATCAGAGCTTTGTGTGCAGAAAGTCCCAGGTTCAGTCCTCAGGTAGGGCTGTGAGAGACTCCCTGCCTGAAACCACTACCTGTCAGTGTAGACACTGCTAGTCTAGATGGACCAAGGGCTAGGCTCAGTAAAAAGCAGCTTCCGAGGTTTCCTCTTGGGCAGCCGATGTGATGGAAGTGACTGTAAGTTGCCTCTGGCTCAGCTAAGGTGGCTGGTCTTGCTGCAGCTGTGTGTGTGTGGAGTGACATTGGAGCTTAGATGCGAGACGGTTACACACACACACATACACACACACCCTCCGTGGCCCCCTCCTCACACACTGCTCATCTGTGGTGGTTCGCAGCTACCTGAGCTGAGAAAAAAGAGAGAAGGGGGGGGGAGAGAGAGGCAACTCATCATCCGAGGGGTCCAGCCACTCGCCCCGTTGCCATGGCAGCAGCTGTGGCTTGGCGGAGGCAGGCATGAGTGATGGCGCAAGGATGTGCCCCAAGGCTCTCTCCATAAAGCCGGGATACGGCAGCTGTAAATCGCCCTCCTCGGAGCCGGTGGGCCTGGAGGAGGAGGCAGCCTCGGCCCTTCCTGCCAGGAAAGAAAAGAGGGAAGAAAAGCAAAAAAGAAAGGGATGGGGGGGAGAGCGCAGCGAGGAAATATTGAAGGCTGTCTGGGCCCTTTTGATGGAAGGCACATGTCATCCCTGAGCATCTTTGGGGTGTCCAGGTGCACGCATGGATTGTGCAACAGACTGAACGCTGGCCTTGGATCTGGGAAGCAGGGGCATTGTTAGATTGCAGCTCTCTCTTCTGCCAGGAATCAATTGTCTTCGCTTCCCTCCTCCTCTTCCTCATCCAATTTCTTATTTCTTTCTCTTCATATGTGGCCACCAAAACTGGGCTGTTATCATCCCTTCCTTCCTTCCTTCCTTCCTCTCCTTCTCTCTCCCTCCCTCCCTCTGTTTCTGCCTCCTTCCTTCCTTCCTTCCTTCCTTCCTTCCTTCCTTCCTTCCTTCCCTTCTGCCAATGCTGTTTCCAAAGACCAATGCAACCCTTTGGCTTGGTTTTTATGTACTAAGATCAATTCAAATCTCAAATTGTGGGACGAGCCCTGGCTCAGTGCCAGAGCATCTGCTCTGCATGCAGAAAGTTCCAGGTTCAATCCTCAGCAACTCCAGGTAGGCCTGGGTATCTCCACTGCCCAGAAACAAAAGTGATTTGTTGGTCAAAAGGTTCATCAACCTAAAGCAGTAAAATGAATAACCTATAGGGTAATGGTGGATTCGTGGAAGCTCAGGTCATCTCAATTGCAGAGAAAAGTGAAACTGAAAGTGTTAACCACAGGCTGCCCCTGAAGCAGACCCACTGAAATCGACAGAGAGGATTAATTTCGGCCCATTGATTTCAATCAATCGGCCAAAATTGGACGATGCCTTGTGTGTCTCCTTCCAGCAACTCCTGCAGCCAAGCTGGTGCCAAATGTCTTGCTCTGCTTTCCTTTGGACCAAATCCGTAAGGCCGACAGAGGGAGCATTGTCATTGGGGCAGGCCAGGACCTCCATACACACTGCCCAGGCTTGCGCCCTGGAGAGGTCACTTTAGTGCTGCTAATGCAGCGGTTTGGCTTCTCCCGTGGAGGTGCACTCCATTGTCTCTTGAGGCAGATGGGTGCCTACAACACCAGCTTCTGAGTAGAACTTAGGCTACAGCCCTCTGTCTGCTATAGGACTGATCACGTTTCAAACCATCCTCCAGTCGATTTGCAACAACCGGAGGGGCATGGCCCAGTCCAGTCGCTGTCTCTCAGAGCCTAACCTACCTCGCAGGGTTGTTGTGAGGATAAAATGAGGAGGAGAATTGTGTGCACAAACTTGAGCACCTTGGAGGAAAGCTGGGGTATAAATGTAATAATCATAAGAATACAGAAGGTCCCAGATTCAATCCCTGCAATCTCCTGGTAGTGCAGGGAAACTTCTCTATCTGAAACCCCAGAGTACTGCTGCTCAGTCAGTATAGATGGCAGCTCATAGAATCATAGAATTGTAAAGAGACCCCACAGGCCATCTAGTCCAGCCCTCTGCAACGCAGGAATCTCAACTAAGGGAAAGGGAAAGGGACCCCTGACCATTAGGACCAGTCGTGACCGACTCTGGGGTTGCGGCGCTCATCTCGCTTTACTGGCCGAGGGAGCTGGCGTACAGCTTCCGGGTCATGTGGCCAGCATGACTAAGCCGCTTCTGGCGAATCAGCGCAGCGCACGGAAACACCATTTATCTTCCCACCGGAGTGGTACCTTGCACTTTGACGTGCTTTCGAACTGCTAGGTTGGCAGGAGCAGGGACCAAGCAATGGGAGCTCACCCCATCATGGGGATTCAAACCGCCAACTTTGTGATCAGCAAGTCCTAGGCTCTGTGGTTTAACCCACAGCGCCACCCGCATCCCAATCTCAACTAAAGCATCCATTATATGCATACTGCTACCCTATGACTCAGATTTTCAGGCGCTCCAGTGTGACCAGTCTTCCCTGTTCTGTAGTAGACTGTTGGAGAGGCACCTTTCAGGGAAGGCAGAGCTTGCTACTGGAATACAATTTACCTGGGGATTGCTCCGAGTCTGTGATTGTTGCTGAAACTTGCCCTCTGTTAGTATTCAGCCTGAACCTTGTGAAAGGTTGCCTCGCCAGAGAGCAGAAGGGAGGAGGGAGAGATCTTTGCCTTTCATTCCATAGATTTATTCTGCATTCTCACTCCCTCGTCGTGAACCCAAGGCATCCTCAACGGACTGACTCAGTAGAGAACAGCTTCCTGTGTAAACTCATGATCCACAGATTATGAGCACTGGCGATTTTTGCTCCAGTGGTTTCCCTTCGGTCAAGGCACCATCCTGAGCTTCCTGATTTATTTATTTTTTCTCTGTTGTGTTTTAGTGGGATTTTAGGATGGTGCTCGTACCAAATGCTTTTTTTCTAAATAAAAATGTTTAGGGGTACTCTCATTTTCCTACTCATATTGAAATACTGCCCCTCAATGAGGCCAAACTTAGATTCAGGAAATGTTTAGGGGTCTGCGTCCCTCCCCCAGAAATAAAGCACTGCTCGTTCCTTTGCCTCTTGGCTCTGATTCTCTGTGCCACAGCTCCTGGCTCCCCCGTGCCTGAAGGCTCATGCCTGATGGACAATAAACCCCCAAGCAGAATCTATTCCAGCTGCTGGAGTAAACCTGACCCCCCCCCCAAAGGTACTCCAAATCACTGGGAAGAACTGCAAGGGGAACAACCCCCTCCACATGCCCCCCCCCCCCATCTCTAGGTAAGGAAGAGGAACAGAAACGGCACCCTCTGGTGGCGAGAGAGAATACTGCTAGACCTTCTTAGGAAGTGGTGGCTCCATATTCTCCGGTTAATGTCCCATTGCTCAGCCAACTCTAAATTATCACCTCTTCCTGTTGCCACAGGGAACTCCAATAAGAAGGCAGCGGACACAACCATTCCACCTCATATATGCCGCTTACTTTTTCTTTTTTTTTTTTGTAAAAAAGAGGACTTAATAGCTCTGGCATTGTTTGACATTTGGGTTTTACTCACTGTAGAAAGCAGCACTAATTACTTCTGCGTCTCACTGCAGCGGCAGCAAGCTCAAGGCTTTTTATGGAGTGCCGGAGACAGCTGTGGCAAAGACCTACCTGCCGCTTGGCATGGAACTGGCGAGATCCACATGCACCCCGATCCGACACCTCTTGTGCTATCAATACTTAGATCAGCCCAGAGGCAGTGAGGAGTAGTGGTTAGAGGGTTGGACTATGACCTGGGAGACCAGGCTTCAAATCCCCACTGGGTGACCTTGCCCCAGTCCCCTCCTCTCAGCCCAACCAACTTCACAGGGTTGTTATGAGGACAAACAGCTCTGGCAGTAAGCCAGAGGGGAACGGTCTCCCACAGGAGGCTGTGGGCTCTCCTTCCTCGGAGGTTTTTAAGCAGAGGTTGGAGGAGCCACCTGTCATGGATGCTTTAGCTGAGATCCCTGCATTGCAGGGGGTTGGACTAGATGACCTTTGGGGATCCCCCTTCCAACTCTACAATTCTATGATTCTGTGAAATGGGGCAGAGAACCATGTATGTCACCTCGAGTTCCCTGGGCAAGAAGGCGGTACATAGATGTGATAAATACAATGCAATAAAAACACATCTCAAGTTGGGGCCTGGGGAGGAATGAAAGAATGAAATCACTAGGGCAGGGGTGGCGAGCCTCAGAGCTGGGGAGCAATGTGGCGCTTCAGATCTCTTTGGCCCTTGGGAATCCCCTCAGATCACACTCTTCAACATCCCTTCTTTTGCCTGGGTGGAATGTGCCATTGAACTCTGATGGAGGGTAGAGAGGGCCCTGCTGAACCAAGGGTCATGGTTTTGAGCCCGGCTCAAATGTGGGTGGCGCTGTGGGTTAAACCACAGAGCCTAGGACTTGCCGATCAGAAGGTCGGCGGTTCGAATCCCCGCGACGGGGTGAGCTCCCGTTGCTCGGTCCCTGCTCCTGCCAACCTAGCAGTTCGAAAGCACGTCAAAGTGCAAGTAGATAAATAGGTATCGCTCCGGTGGGAAGGGAAACAGCGTTTCCGTGCGCTGCTCTGGTTTGCCAGAAGCGGCTTAGTCATGCTGGCCACATGACCCAGAAGCTGTACACTGGCTCCCTCGGCCAGTAAAGCGAGATGAGAGCTGCAACCCCAGAATCGGTCATGACTGGACCTAATGGTCAGGGGTCCCTTTCACCTTGGGTGAAAGATTTCTGTATTGCAGGGGGTTGGACTAGATGATGCTCACAGCCCCTTCCAACTCTTGAATTCTATGATTCTATGACCTGGCAGCTGGATCAAGCCAATAGCCCATCTAGTCCAAGACACTGTTTTCCCTTTTTGTATGCCACAACTGCAGCTAGAATTTTGTTGGCCAAAAATTGGAAATCACAAGAAGTACCAACAGTGGAGGAATGGCAGATGAAGATGATGGACTTTAGGGAGCTAGCCAACCTAACCAGAAGAGTCTGCGAGCAGAAGGAGGAGGAGTACCAGGAGGAATGGATGAAATTTAAAGGCTATTTAGCTAAATATGCTAAGATAGTTTAAATAGAAACACTTGCAAGTACCAGACTGGCTTAGGATTTAAATATGTGAAGTTATAGAATAATATATCTAAAGTTAAAATGAAAAGAAGTAAAGATGTTAATGGATTAAGTAAATTTTATGAGAAATTAGTTTTGGAAAACTGTTACAATGATATACATAGAAACTCAGCCAGGGGGATTTGAGGAAGTCACCTAACAATGTTAACAAAAGTGGAATTATTATAGTTAGGATTTATGCTTGTTTCTTTGATGTTTGTTATAAATTTGGAAAATCAATAAAAATTTTGAAAAAGAAAAAGATCCTGTTCTCCCAGTGGCCAACGAGAGTCTCCTTCTTTGGAGGTCTTTAAGCAGAGGCTTGACAACCATATGTCAGGAGTGCTCTGATGGTGTTTCCTGCTTGGCAGGGGGTTGGACTCGATGGCCCTTGTGGTCTCTTCCAACTCTTTGATTCTATGATTCTATGAGATGCCACAATGGGAAGCCCCGCAAGTAGGACCCGAGTGCAAGAGCTTCTCTCCCCTCCTCTGAGGTTTCCACATTCAGAAGTATTAGGGATTCTGGCAGTGGAGGTAGAACAAAGCCATCATGATTAGTAGCCACTGATCTAAAGGCATCAGGGTGAGTCAGTGGTCCACCAGAAAGGAAGCCTCACCAGCTTCAGCGGCCTGCTCAGGAGGACAGCTGAATGGGCTTGATGGACCACTGGCCTGATCCACCAGGCTCCTCTTATGTTCTCATGTTTAATTACAACTCCCGTCAGCTTTGGCCCCTGGCCATGCATGCTAGGACTGATGGGGTTTGTAGTTCCGCAACATCTGGAAAGCCAGAAGCTCCCCCACTTTTCTCCTACAATAATAATTTGTTACTTATACCCCACCCATCTGGCCAGGCCTCCCTAGCCACTCTGGGCGGCTTCCAACAAAATATTAAAATACAGTAATGCATCAAACATTAAAAGCTTCCCTAAACAGGGCTGCCTTCAGATGTCTTCTCAAAGTCTGGTAATTGTTGTTCTCTTTGACATCTGGTGGGAGGGCGTTCCACAGGGCGGGTGCCACTACCGAGAAGGCCCCCTGCCTGGTTCCCTGTAACTTGGCTTCTCACAGTGAGGGAACCGCCAGAAGGCCCTTGGAGGTGGACCTCAGTGTCCAGGCAGAACGATGGGGGTGGAGATGCTCCTTCAGATATACTGGACCGAGGCTGTTTAGGGCTTTAAAGGTGAGCACCAACACTTTGAATTGTTTGGGACCTATGCCAATTCCATTCTTGGTGCTGAACATCTCTGTCCTTTTCAAAGCAGGCTGCAGAAGAACTCCCGATGACCGTCCTAGCTGGATCTCCCTCCTCACTCCTTGTAAGATGCCTCCCTCCTCCGGCTCCTCCTTTCCCCAGCCAGGAAGCCGACAATGAAAATTCACACCTCCCGAGGAAATTATCTCCTCCTCGCTTAATTCTCAGGGCCGCAAGAGCTGCCTGGACAAGCCTGTGCAAGAGAGAGCGGTGGCAAACCATCCCCCGCTTCTTCTTCTTCCTTTTTTTTTAAAAAAAAGGGGGGAGGGAGCGAATCTTTCAAGGAGAAAATCCCCCACTGGCTCCACAAGGCAGAGGTGGGAATGAGATGCAGCTGTCTCTGGTGGGGCCCAGTGAGAGCTGCCGATTTCACGCTTCTGGATGCAGTAACTGGATTCGAAAGACGGCCAAGCGGATGCTCAAACGCCTCTCCTCTCCCAGCCCCTCGGTGGCTCAAAGAGCGCTATCAAATGGGGAGCAGCCTCTCCTCCCCACACCGCAAGGAGTGAAGGGCACCCATTGCAGCTGGACCACAGCCAAGAAGCCACAGCCAGCTTCCTGGAGAGATGAGCTAAGCTGTTTTTGTTCCTATCAGATTATTATTATTATTATTATTATTATTATTATTATTATTATATCCCAAGGTGGTACACACAATTCTTCTCCTCCTCATTTTATCCTCACCACAACCCTGTGAGGTAGGTTAGGCTGAGAGAAGGCGACTGGCCCAAGGACACCCATTGAGCTTCATGCCCAAGTAGGGTTTGAACCCTGGTCTCCCAAGTCCTAGTCCAGCATTCTAACCCAGGCTTCCTCAACCTCGGCCCTCCAGATGTTTTTGGCCTACAGCTCCCATGATCCGTAGCTAGCAGGACCAGTGGTCAGGGATGATGGGAACTGTAGTCTCAAAACATCTGGAGGGCTGAGGTTGAAGAAGCCTGCTCTAACCACTACACCACACGGGCTCCTGTTAATGCAGGTGGTGGTGGTGGGGAATGTTTTGCGCTCCAGACGTTGTGGAACCTTTGGCCCACCATGCTTGCTAAGGGGTTTCTGGGAGTTGTAGTTCCACAACATCCAGAACCAACTGTTCTCCACACCTGCATCAGCGCCAGACATTTACAGCTCTCTTATACCATAGTCGTATTCCCACAGAGAATCCTGGGAGATGTAGTTTGCGAGGGATTCTTGAGAGCTGTTAGGAGACCCATATTCCCCTAACAGAGGCACAATTTCCAGAGTTCCCTGGGAAGAGGGACGGACTGTCAAATCACTCTAATATTGTGTGTGTGCTTTCCAAAGGTGGCTGGCTGCGAAATGCATAAACAGGATACTGGACTGAGTGAGCCACCGACTTCATCCAGGACGGCTTGTCTTGCCTATCTTTGGGTGAATTTCTCCAGCTGGACCCATCTCCCATTTTGGACTCTTCTGCAGGGAGACTTTCCGTGATGGAAGGTTGAAGCATTTGGGACTTTTAAGTTCAGAGGAAAAGCAAGGGAGAGGTGACCTGGTTAGACAGTAATAAAATTATGTATACTGTGGAAAAAGTGGGTGGAGAAAAGTTTCCTTTCTTTCTCTCCTAATGCTAGAACTCATAGATAACCCATGAAGATGAATGTTGGAAGAACGTTGGAGCAATTTCTTCTCGCAGCACAGAGCTAAACTGTGGAACTCCCTCCCACAGGATACAGTGATGGTCACCGGGAGATGGCTTTAAAAGAGGACTGGACAGGTTCATGGAGGAGAAGCTGTTGATGACTACTAGCCCGGATGGCTATGCTCTGCCTCCACAGCTGGAGATAGTAAAATGCTTCTGAACACCACTTGCTGGAAACCACCAGAGGGGAGAGGACTCTTGAGCTCAGGTCCTGCTTGTGGGTTACCCAAAGGCATCTGGTTGGACCCCACGAGAGAACAGGATGCTGGACTAGATGGGCCATTGGCCTGATCCAGCAGGTTCTTCTTAATGTTTTAATCTATTCTGGTGCCCCGCACAACTCTGGTGCTTCCAACCCTACCAGGATTCCTATTTTTGCTCTTACATCCCTGGCTGCAAATGCTGGGAAACTGGAGGGAGAGCAAAATAATGGAATAGTGAACACTAGTTGGGAGTAAGACAGAGAAACCAGGCAGTGGGAACAAAGGATAGGTTGTTTTATATTAGGACGTGTTCCTTAGAAATAAGTTATGTACACATTTTCTCTCTTTCAAAACTATACAAGTTAGTAAGGAAGGGCAAAAACTGAACTGCTGATAGCTTTTTCTTCCTTTTGTTGGTTCATCACGCCGAGTTGTTGCTTTTCCTAGCCAGGAAACGGCAGACGAATAAAAGTGATGAGTGCCATCGCTTCAAAGCTGCTTGTTCAAAGGACTCTCCTCTTCGGGGTTCACGGGACAGATCCACTTGGCTGCGAGGAGGGGCCAGAACCCCCTTGTTGCTCTCTCGGCCGTGACTCAGTTCTGAACTGGGGCTGGCGGGGGAGAGAAAAGATAGAGTGTTACGTGGGTGGCTTGATCCTTGGAAGGGAGCATTCTGCCCAGCAGAACTTGAGCACCAGGGAAGGACCTGAGGAAGATCACGTAATTAGGACATGCCGAGCCAATACCGCAGAGGAGGCTGGTTCATTTTGGCAAATGGGGGCGCTGCCCCTCCAATTTCACGCTGCCCCCAGCCCGCCCCACCTTGCCTGCCTTCTTATTTACAGCTCTTCCAAGGGGTGGCACTGCTTGCCTCCTGCTCTTCCGTCTTAGGCCTCATTCACACTAAATGTTTAAAGCAGTGAGATACCACTTTGAACAGCCATGGCTCCCTCCATAGAATCTTGGGAGCTATCCAGGGTGCTGAAAGTTGCTAGGGGACCTCCCCATCACCATTCCCCTTCCAGAGCTACGCTTTCCAGAATTCTCTGGGAACAGGGAATGAAGGTGCAGCCAGACTGTTAAGGCGTCACGTAACAAGCACCCTTAAGCCTCTATCCCTCTTCCCAGGGAACTTTGGGAACTGTAGCTCTAGGAGAG